GGGTGAAGATTTTATAATATTCTATTAAATGCGATTCCGAAAATGAAACTTATGGTCCGCAATGTGTTTACGCGTTCTTCTGAAAAAAAGTACGTGCAGGTGGATTCAACGTTTCAAGACATGGCTGCTTCTAAGGTATGGATCGCCTGATTTTGTATCTAGCTATTCTAATAAATGGGTAGAGGCAAAGAGGTGGACAAGCAAGTCTGGGTAGTTAGCGAGTTAAATAACTAGCTATCTTACCAATAGCTAACGGGAATAAATTTCATTTTAGGCGAATTTTAAATAGAAATTTGAAGTCATCATTATTTACAAAGTTTTACTTAAATAGCGTAAAATGTTCTCTTTCTCTTAAAATAATAAAGTAAAATGTTATTTGTTTGTAAAAGGATGTTACTAAAATGAAAAATGACCATATTAATTAATTAAAAATGTTTATAATAACAATTACTATTTTTAACAATTATAAATAAAATGATCATATAAGAAATTATAAGCTAAACATTGTACCAATTACAAAAAATACAAGCTAGTTGTTTTAAAATAATTTAAAGATATATACTTGTATAAAACAAATTTTTATTTGCTCTATCATATATCTCGTTATTGATAGATTTGGAGCGTCCCATAGCGGAGTTTTACTGTGTTTTTTTTATGAAGTTATTCTTATTGTCGAGGATTTTATTTATTTATTTATAATTTGTTCTTTTTTCGCGATTCAAATTATTGGAGTATTGATTACTTTTTACAAAGATTCAAATCTTTAAATTCGGTTAATGATTTTTTATGTATAGAATCTAATAATGCATCTTTTCTTCCATCAACTTTTCATATTTTAAACTCCATAAGAATTATATATTGCAAAAAATTTCTTCATCATCCTATTTTTTCCCATTTAAAAAAGTATTTAATTTGGAATATTAATCTTTTCTGTTAAAATCACAGAAAATTTTTAATTTTTTTATTTATATTTCTTAAAATATTATATTATATTCACATTAGTTTGTTTATTAATAAAGTTTTTTTTCCGAAAAGATTACTTTTTAAAATAATAATAATAATAATAATAATAATAATAAGAGTTTTTAACCTATAAATTGTGGTCAGTTGACGTTGCAGGATCGACATTAAAAAAAAATTTTATATTCAATCTTCATTAAATGCATTTATAATAGGAATAACCAAACATTAGTTACATTAATTTTCAGCCGAATTAAATGGTCCTGACAATGGATGGGACACTTTGGGAAAAAATAATAACATGATCTTTTTTTTTATTTACAGGTGGTATAATTAATCACTCGGGACCACAAGAAGTAAGTGTTAACGGTTCTCCCAACTGTTTATAACATTACAACTCTATCCTTTCAGTCTGTAATAATAACGAGAATGCCCGTTGGCGTGCGCAGTCTAGAAGCACCATGGAAGCCTCTGGAATTAAATTAAAATTTTTTCTTCTTCAAAAACAATCGGTCAAACATCCACACTATAAGACAAATTTTAGCTTACCACCCATTATTTTTAAAGTATATAATTATTTTCACTTCTTCCTTTCTTTCTACAGACTAAAATTCCTTAATTAGAAGAAAAGGACTCCAATTTTCTTATTTTTCAATATTAATTCAATTTTGTCCGCAGACACAAGAATTTGACTGTCAAAAAGAAAATAAAAAAGAGATGACAAGTCAAACCATGCCACAGCATGGTTGGAATTTATTTTTTTATACATAAGTGTATTTTCACACTCATATTGAGATTAGAAATTTTCTAATAATAACTACAGTTTAGGATCTCTTAATTTCGCATGTAAAATTTATTTAAAGATATAGTTTATTTTTACCGATTTAATAATGAGATAAAAAATTATTCTGTTAAAATGGAAAATAACTCATGAAATTATTTTTCTTTATATATTAAAAATTTAAAGAAAATGATTTTCGTATGTACAGGAATTTATGTATTATTTTTCTTTTTTTGGTAAAGAATAGCAAGAGCAAAAGCTCAAGAAAGAAAACTAACTACAAGCATTCATAGGGTAAGCCACACCAGTACATTAATTAATTTTTGATAAAACATCTTTTTAACTTTTAAATGTTAATTCAAATATTATGTTATCGAAAAAATAAAAATACTGTGTTGCGTTTTAACTCAAAAAATTATTGCCAACAGCAGCCTATATCTCTAATAACATCCGTTACTAATTTTTTGCTGTATTGAATAAATTAGATATCCTACTCGTGCTCTTATTTATCTAAGTATTTTAGACTAGTTCACGATTATGATAAATTATACTTTACATACTTAGGAGGTATTTTTAAAATTTTAAATAAACAACAAATATACCAATTCTACCAAAAAAAAAAAAAAAAACTAAAACAAATTTGAATGCAATCATCTAAAATAATAATGAAAGCTTTCGGAAATTCTACCCATTTTATCTATCAATTCCTGATCTGATTTTGAGTTGACAGAAACAATATTATATTCTTTATTTCATTGGGTTGTTTTCTTTCTCACGAGAAAAGGTGACAGTTGAGCTACTATCCTTTATTTATGGATAGAAACTATCAATTTGTTACGTAACTTAATCAAATATAACATGGAAGACTGAAAGTTCAATTGCAATTTTATTTTATATTCTTTTAACAAATTCAATGCGTACCAAAAAAAAAAAAAAGAAAAAAAATAAATCATCTAACCTATATCTTAGACTTATGTAGGAATTGAACACATTTTGTGTGCAAATCTATGGATTTTCCATTTTTAGAGTTTTTTTTAATGATCCATTTTTCACATCGGATAACATTAGATTCAACTACAATATTTCATTTCATTTATTATAATTAAATTCTGCTCGCATCGAATTAATCTATTAAAAATTAAAATGCTCTCACCAAATATTCCTATATCCATAAGTATAAATGCAAGCTTTGGATATATAATTACAACAACTTTTTAACTGTTGGACACATGATTCAAAAGCAAAATCATTTGATTTTAAATTTAGATCACCTGTCCTTCAAGTTGACCTGGTAGGCTGTGGGGGATTTAATAACTATCGAATCAATATAAATATGTAATTAAAATAAATTATAAAATTTCATATATGTATAACTGAATTTATTTATTATTTTTTTCTTTCTGGTACAATGAAAATAAAATTTGCTATTTAATTTATTCATCCATATCTAATAACTAAATTGATTATTCACTTTATTCATCAACAATCAACATTCAAACTCTGAAATAGATTATAAATACATTTTTTAATTTTATTTAATGAGAAAGTGATATTATAAGTTAATTTTAACACGTTGTATATTAAAAAAAGCTGTTTACTGTTATAAATTGAATTGAATTGAATTACATGTCAGTATACATTTATGCTTTGATTGTCTTGGGGTAGCCATGTATCCCATTCCTTGTGAGCATCGCCAGTAGATCGCCTTGTCTCCTGCGCCGGTAGCGCCAATAATTTTCTATGGGTACGTGCTAGCATTGGAGTAGCAGAGTAATTAACACCTTATTTTATTTGGCTCGGATATCTGACCGAGATTGATGTTGAAGTAAAATTATTTTAATAATAATAATAATAATAATAATAATTTTAGGTTTTGATTCCTAATTTTAGGGGTCATAATGGATTTTAGATGAGAATTCGATTTATAAAAATCAAATTTATCATGCAGGAAAAGTGTTCAAATGGATCGTAACAGAGGAACATGATTCACAAAATACATAAATTAAATGGATAAGGTTTGAGTCTAGATGATTTCGTATTATAAACGAATGACCCATATATAATACAAGTTTAAACGGGTCATCTCACGGATTGATTCGTCTAATCCGTTTATTTAAGGATAAAAATATAATTATATATATTCAGTAGGTTATAGGTATAATGAGTGCTGTGTTTTTGACAAACATACGACACATTTAATGAAATTTGATTGAATTTTTGATTTATATATGATCCATTTAATTAAACTAATTACATGCATTATATTCATGTCGCTTGTTTAATTTTCGTATCGTATTCTTTTTTAAATATTTTATACGATTATTAAATGAATACTAGTCGTGATGATCTTAATTGTGTCGCGTGTTAGGTGGTTTCGTGCCCAATCCGATATGTCAATCTATTCTGATACCTCTATTAACCACTTTATTTATAATTAATTCCCTATTTTTATTATAATTATATTTTTTATTTAAATATAAAATTATTAATTACGTGTAAAATTTTCAGATAAAGTTATATTTTTTTTAACATTATGAATAAAGTTAAACGATAAATTACCAACCTTGAATTAAAATAGGTAAAATTTATTCAGGTTCTCGGAATTACAACCAACGATGGAAATTGTACTTGAAGATCATTTAACTTGTAATAATCAAGCGCAACTACTTCACAACTTGCATGGTGTCAGAAGTGAGGCATCATATACATGAAACTAACTTTCTGAATATTAATTAAAATTATTTTATTTTTTTGCAATTTCATCCTTATAATAATAAACATTTTTAAAAATATTCTCAAAATTCTTAATTTTCTCCCTGAATTTTATATATATTCTTAAAATATTCATACTGTCTCCTGATTTTGCTTCGAATTTTATTTCTATTTTTATTTTTGATTCTCAATATTTAAATTTCAGTTTTATACTGGACCTGTATCAAAAGAAATCTAGCCAAAAGAGGGACAAGCTGAAGAAAGTAAAAAGGAGGAACTAAGAAGAAAAATGAAAAAATATAGGTAAGGAATTAAATTAATAAGAGTATCCATTAACAGTCAACAATGTTTATAGTAGTATAATTAAGTCAGGCAAACAGGAGTGCAAACACTGTATTAATAATAATAAAAATAAAAAAATAATAGGCAAATAAATGAAGAGAAGAGGGGTGGCAAAAACGTAAATAAAGGAAGAGTAATGTTCGGGAAGTGTAACTTTGAACCAGAGGCGGGAGGGGGCCATGTGGACACTATAAAAACCGTTCCTTCATTCCCTACCACTCGCAAGCCAACTCACTCTACCGCTGGCCCTAAAATACCCTTTGTCCTCTCTCTTCCTTTCTGGCCTCTTGGCTTTTTTGAAAGCTTATAGCAGAAGAAGAAAGTTCAAAACTCTCACACAAAATTTAGAAAAAAAAACAGGAAAAAGGAAAGCAACGGGAAAAAGAGATCCGCGAATCCTAGAAGAAGAGTAGAAGGAAGCGAAGTTACGGGTTTTCCAGAACGAAATGACGCATTAGCCCATGTCATTTTCTCTCTCTTGAAATTTTTTCTCGTGTTTGTTGAGCTGCCTCTCTCTCTGGTTGGCTACTTTAAGGTATGGGATTGGAGTTTGTTTTGTTTTTCGTTTTCTCTTGTTTGTTGCATTTTCTGCTGTTTATTGGATTTGTTATTTATAATTTTCTCCTTTGATCCGTTGGGAAGGCTTTGTGTTTGCTGTTTGGATGTTGAGGAAGTTGAGGTAATGAGAGGATAATGAAGTGTTTGATTGTTTGAAATGGGGATGTTTAGGGTTAATCCTGTGAAATGGCTCTGTTTAGGTTGGCTTGACTGAAGAGATCTGAGATTTGGAATTTTAAAATTTCCTTCATCTATTTTGCATTTTCTCAGCACCAAACGCTCATTGAAGTGCTCTGTGTTATTACTATTACTATTATTATTTTGTGCATATTCCGGCCTTGTTTGCTGTTTTTGAGAATGCGAGTTTTTGCTTTTGGTATGAAAATTTGTTTGATTTCTCTTTTGAAATTTGTGGTTCTACGGTCAGATCTGCTGTGCGTTTCTTTATCGTGCAGATACTTATTCTTGTCTCTTTGATTTTGTAATTTAGATACTGTCAATGCCTATAAACAGATAATTATTTTCTCTAATAGATTTGGGCGAGATTTCATCCATTTTTCTGCCTTTGCTTTTTTAGCCGTTTCTTTAGCCTTTGCTTTAGGTTTATTTTATGGTAGAAATGAAGCGTTTCTTTAACTTTCCCTCATAACTCCAACCGGCTTAAGGGGCACAGAGGAAAAAATGGGTTGGAGAATTCAAGAAGCCTCCATTTTACCGGATGAGAAAACAAACATTTCTGTTGAAGTGATAGTGTTTTTTGAATCCTTCTGTTGAAGTGACTGCAGTTTTAAAGCAGAATTGTACTGTTAAATCTAGCTGTTATCATGTTGTCGTTCATTCAGCTATAAAGTTTTCTGATCAGTTTTCATGTTTGGTACAAATCTTTGCAGAAAGCTGCGCAAACCTGATTCTCAAGCTTGCTTGTCCTTTTTTGCGAATTAAAGACCAATTAGGTGTCAAACCTTCATTTGGTCCATTGATTCTTCCATTTCAGCATGGTTGCTACTGCTGCTACTTCCTCGTTCTTCCCTGTTCCTACTTCATCTGCAGATTCCAAGTCCACCAAGATTGGTAGTGGGTCTGCAAGTTTGGGAGGAATCAAATCAAAACCTGCTTCTTCTGGGGGCTTGCAAGTCAAGGCAAATGCCCAAGCCCCTCCCAAGATAAATGGATCCACAGTAGGCTATACAACACCTGTGGACAGTGTGAAAAATGAGGGTGACACGCCATCACCGCCCCCAAGGACCTTTATCAACCAATTACCTGATTGGAGCATGCTTCTTGCTGCTATTACAACTATATTCTTGGCAGCAGAGAAGCAGTGGATGATGCTTGACTGGAAACCACGGCGACCTGACATGCTTATTGACCCTTTTGGTCTAGGGAGAATTGTTCAGGATGGCCTTGTGTTCAGGCAGAACTTCTCCATCCGATCATATGAAATTGGCGCGGATCGGACAGCATCCATAGAGACATTGATGAATCATTTACAAGTATGATCATTTTTAATTTTATTATTTTAGGTATAGTTTCAATGTTACAATGGTTAGTAACAAATGAAAAGGCCAAGGTTTAATATTCTTGTCACAAGTTTGAATTTTCCTATCCAATTTATTTGGTTGCAGGAAACAGCCCTCAACCATGTTAAGACTGCTGGACTTCTTGGTGAGGGGTTTGGTTCAACACCAGAGATGAGTAAAAGGAACCTGATATGGGTGGTTACTCGGATGCAGGTCCTGGTGGATCGTTATCCAACGTGGTAAGTAATTATCTGAGTTGCCTTTGTTACGCTACATGGATCAATTTGTGATCTCACTAGTTTTATAATTTTTGGCTTTGATGTTTCTATTTTTATTTTGAAAGTAAGTTATGATTATTATTATTTTTTTTATCTCAAGTATGCAACTTTTTGAGCTATCAATCCCTATTCCACAAAACCTTCGATCCTCTATGCTCACAGCTCATACCTGCAAGTAGGAATCTTAGTCTTATACCGCCTTGGAGTCTTGTTGCATGTAATTACTAGCTCTATAATTGATTCCTTGCTTTGTAGTTTTGTAGGTTGATACAGAGGGAGAGGAGAGTTGTAGTTTAGCCATGAAAACTTGAACCCTATGATTGTATGAAGGATGTTTTTTTAGGATAGGACCAGCAATAAACATTCAAGCTTATTGGAGTATGCTCATACTGCTAGATTGGCTGTAAGATGATTTTGTAGTGTTTCCAAATGCTTCTCCTTCCTCTTTTATGAATTGGGTAACAGATTGTTCATTATTGGATATACGACTTTTGTGAATAATATTTTCTACAGTCTTTTATATAATTTCTTGTATCTTTCATTTTTCTTTAGTTCTTCACTCTTCCTCAGTTTTTGCATTTAACATCCTTGCATTAGAATAATTGGTTGGCAACTAGAATTTTTCCAGCTAGTAATCGTCCACAGTGGATAAAGCAGTTTTATGAAGGGATTTTTAATTTTTTTGTTCGGTAGAGCATTGAGAAATTTCCATGAGAGAACAGTTGAATGTGGCATGAATTAAAATGCAGTCAACCATTCAGTTACACATGATTGTTCTGTGACAGAACCTTTGGTTGCTTTTCAGGGTTTGATATCTGTTTTTAGGGCAATTATTTGTACTGCATTGAGTTATCTGATTATTTGAAGCACTAGATAGTTGCTTAGATGCTCCCCAACTTGAAGTATGATTTTGACATGAATGTTGGATGCATTTTGATTTTTTTTTTTTTAGAAGCATTTAAAACATGGTGTGATATTTTGATTTAGAACAATTTTGGGGGAATCGTGATTCATGGATGTGATGACCAGAGTTTGATAAGCTGAAATTATGTCTTGTAGGGGTGATGTTGTTGAAGTAGATACTTGGGTGAGTGCATCAGGAAAAAATGGCATGCGCCGCGATTGGCTTGTTCGTGACAGTAAAACCGGTGAAACTCTAACAAGAGCCTCCAGGTAAAAAAATCTTATTTTGAAATCCATAATTTTCCTAGTGCTTTTTATGCTATTTTCATCAATCTGATGACTAATTAATTTGTAACATCTGGTTTGATAATTTGCAGTGTGTGGGTAATGATGAATAAACTGACTAGGAGATTATCTAAAATTCCTGAAGAGGTTAGGGGGGAAATAGAGCCTTACTTTTTGAATTCTGATCCTATTGTGGATGAGGATGGCAGAAAACTGCCAAAACTTGATGACAACACTGCGGATTATGTTTGCAAAGGTTTAACTGTAAGTAAACTTACCAAGATACTTATAGCTATATATTTACTGTCTTATGTCTAATTTCCAATAACTCATGCTGTTCTCATTATGACATATACACTTTCTGATTTTCAGCCTAGATGGAGTGATTTAGATGTCAACCAACATGTTAACAATGTGAAGTACATTGGCTGGATCCTTGAGGTAGATCTTTATACCAATATAATTCCAATTCTTAATGACCTTCTCTGTTTAATTGTGTTTCTACTTTTAGCTGTAGCCATGAAGATCTCTGAATAGTATTAAAATAGCCAGCCAGATGAGAGTCTGTTAGATTACTTATTTGGATGGGATTCAATTTAAACTAAAACCATTGTTTTTAATAAGTTAACCAAAAATCTTACGGGATCATATTAACTATAGATATACTCAATCTCTCAAAATTTGGCATGTTACTGATCTTAAAGTACCTATGAGATGAAAGTATACCTGTATGTTTTAAACAATTGTTTATATTACATAATAGCGGGTACTAACAAATGATTGAAAAAGGGAGAGTCAATTAATGTCTGTAGAACCCTATATACAAGAAATTTTGACATCTAGATATCTGTTATGCCATGCATGACACATATACCCTCCATAATCCCATTTTTCATATTTTCCAAACTAGTCAGTGGCTTGATCTGTAAATAACAGCTGGACTGGATGGGATTAATGATATGTTTTTCAATTCAATGATTGTCTATCATACAATCCAAAAAATTATGTTTTCTTGAAACTTGTCCACTTTAACATCTTAGATGGACTAATTTATGTAAATGAGAACTGTTGCCAGCTCACATGGTTGTGCTGTTTTAAATTTTCTTTTTTTTTCTTTTTCACCTAGCTTTGAACAAGATACTTAGTGGTAGGTGGGCACTCAAATGCTCTGTCTGCTTCAGTTTGAAGCTAAAGAGTGAAAAACCATGGCCATATACTTCAACATCTTTGATATGACACTGACACTGACACAACAATATTAATAACATATACAATATGGATATTATATTTGGCAATTTCAATTTCATGGATTCATAGTATGTGGAAGAATGTTAAAGAAATTAACAAGTTACTAGTGTTTGAACTTATATGCGCATTTTGATCTTATGGCGCCTGTTCTTGCAGAGTGCTCCGCTGCCGATCCTGGAGAGTCATGAGCTATCATCCATTATTATGGAATATAGGAGGGAGTGTGGAAGGGATAGTGTGCTTCAGTCGCTGACTGCTGTCTCTGGCACCGGCTTAGGAAATTTAGGAAATGCTGGTGAAATTGAGTGTCAGCACTTGCTTCGACTGGAGGAAGGTGCTGAGATAGTAAGGGGAAGGACTGCGTGGAGGCCAAAGTATCGCAGCAACTTTGGAATTATGGGTCAGATTCCAGTTGAAAGTGCCTAAGGATCCAATACCCCTCTGTTCTTTGTCGACTGATGTGGCATTAAGTCTCTTTATGTCACACAACGCCTGTGTAGAATCTTCCTTTGTTCAGTTCTTGGAATTAATAGATGTTCCTTCTTATATATATTATATTTATTTATTATATATATTTTTCTGATTTCTTGAAAAAAAGGAAGTTGTAAGCTTTTGTAATTACTAATTAGTTCTTGCTACTCTCTCTCTCTGTCTCTCTCCCCCTTTGAAGTGGGTCTGCCTTTTCAATTTGAGTTAATATTTTAGGCGGAGAAGCTCTCTCTCGCCCCAAAAGAAATTTCGACTTGGTTGGTCGTAGACTCATAGTAATTGATATATGGCTCTTGTTCCTTGTTGTATGGGTACCCCAGGATTATGGCCTTCTTTGATTGGACAATATTTGTACATTTTGCAGATTAATACTCCCTCCATCCAAACAAAATGGTTCCATTTACTTTTCACAGTTAAATTGTTCGACCATAAAATTTATTTTTCTTTTTCCTTGTATTCTCTTATATTAATAATTTTTAATATTTTAAATTGTGAAATTGTTTAGAGTTTTTTAATAAAAAATTAATATCCTGGCACATGTTTTAATTATTTTATATTTATGTTTATTATGTTGTAATAGAAAATACGAATAATATAATATGAAATGTTTCTTTTTTCTTTTCATTTTTAAAACGATGGTGATCAGGACATTAAAGTTGTAGAACAATTATTTTGTTGACCAAATGTTTGGTAATTCTGTTTATATTAATTGTTGGGACAAATTATATTATTATAAGGAAGAAATCATTTTCAAAATTGAAATAGAAATGGGAAGAAATCACAACCAGATTTGTTGCTCATTTATTGTTTTTGGTGGTGAGTACTGCTATTATCAATGACTTGTTGACTGAGTGACTTTGACATGGTGTTCCACGTGCTGCTTAGCTGCCTGTCCATATGAGCTTCCCCAAATTCCTCTTGGTTTGTATCATTTGGTATAATGACAAGTAAACATCACGTGTCAACTGAAAAAGACTTTTATTTATACTTTAAAAAAGATTATTAACTATTTTAGTCTTTGAAATTACTATTATTACATTCTTATTTTTCTGCAAAAATTATTGATTTGTTTTTTAGGTTTGGTACCTTAAACTATTTAGTCCTTTTACCTTAATTTTTTTTTAAAGAATATCTTATAATATTTGAATATTTCATCTCTTATATTTAATTGCTATTTTAGTTACTCATATTTATTATTACATTACAACTTAGTTTTTTAATAAATAGTTTAATAAGCTTAAACTTCAGGCCTATTCGGTAAGATTAGTTGTTTTAATAATGTTTATTTATTTGAATGGGTTTTCATAAAACTCTAAAGCTAAATGTTGCATGAGTTTGACTTTTTATAAAACGTTGCCTTAAATTTTAGAAGCTAGTTCAAACACTGTGTTACTGAACACTATAAAAAATCTGTTTAACGTTTTAACCAGTTAAAACGCTGAAAGTTACTTCAAAAGCTATTGTCGAACACAATTTTCAAGTGAATCAATGATTTTGCCAAATAATAAGAATATAATAGTAATTTCAATTAAAATTGAAGGATTGATTAATTAACTATCCAAAAGGAAAAAAAAAAACCGTTGTTTGCAATCCAATATATTGAGCGGTCGGGTTGGATTTTTAAAGTAGATTTTCCTGCTAATCTAATCTAGTATATATTTATATTAATTTTTAGATGGTTAGATAGTATTATTTTTCAAGCTTTGACCCATATAATAAAAAAGGCTCATCCAGGAGCTGTTGAATAAGGAGTGTGTAAGGAGGATAGGCAATGGTCAATCCACTTTGGTTTTTTCAGATCCGTGGTTGCCTGACATAGAAAATCCGTATGTTCGATCTTTAAATATTTCTGGCATGGAGGAGGTTCGAGTTTTTAATTTTTTACAAGCAGATGGCAGAAGCTAGGATGAAGAGGCTATATTGACACTATTTACAGTAGAGGAAAAGCTTTTGATAAAACAAATTCCATTGAGTCTTCATGATTCTAACGACTCATGGAACTGAAAGTGAGAGGGGAAGGGTATGTATATGGTTCGAAGTGGATATGAGTCACTGCATAGCCATATGGAAGTATACAGGTTTCTTTATGGAAGTTTCTGTGGAATTTAAAATGTCCAACCAAAGTTCTTAATTTTATGTGGCGAGCTCTACTGAATATTTTGCATACAAGAATGGTACTGCGATCACAACGAGTGAAAGTTTTTGGTGTATGTCTTTTGTGTAATAATACAGAGGAATCAGTTATTCCTTGTTTAATTAGTTGCACTTACGCCATGCACTGCTGACTATTATCTGATGTGGGTTGGTGGAGTTCAGTAACTACTGTAGTTGATTGGTTTCAAATTCTAATGACACGATGTAGTAGGGAGCTATGTTGTGAAGCGATGTTGGTTGCTTGGGGGATTTGGAATGCTAGAAATAATATGTTGTGGAATCATAAGCTTACTGCTGCTTCATCAGTGATTCATCGGGCTACAAACTTTATTCAAGCAAGGCAGGCTGCTCAGATTGTGGCTGAAACGAATGTGTAGCTACTCAGAAGCATTTTGTAACAATACTTGAAGATTAATATCGATGCATCCTTTGATATTAATTATAAAGTAGCAGGGGTAAGTTGGGTTGTTAGGGACTCTGTAGGATGGTGTAAAGTTGATAAAATTATGCCTTTGGGCTTTGTTTCTAATGCTTTGACGGCTGAAGTTTTGAGCATCCGAGAAGTTTTGAGCGGGTCGAAAGAGAAGAACTTTGGAGGTCCTATGCACACATTGAGAGTTATTGTTTACTTGGTATTCAAGCTTTGCGAAGGAGAGTAGTAGATTGTTCTTATTTTGACACTTCAATTTCTGATTGTCAAACTCTTGTAAATGAGTTTTCAGCTTTATCTTTTAGCTTTGTTTTAAAATCAGCGTATCAAGTTGCATATTCTTTAACTAGAGCATCTGATTCTTTATCTAGTTTTATGGAGTGGTCTTCTCACCCTCCATTTTTGATTTCTGGTGTACTACTGTTTGATCTTAATAATATATAAGGCATTGTAATTTTTTTTTTTTTTTTTCAAAAAGGCCAGTCGAACTTATAATTCAGGTCGGGTTGAAGTCTATTCTCGAGTTTGCTTGAAGGGAAGGGAACTGACCCTGCATATGAGGTTGTACTTTTTATTTGGTATAAATAAATAATCTATTTATAAATAACAAAATTTAATTTAAATATTTTAAATCTCAAAAATATAATTTCTCAATAGTAAAATAATTACTTTTTAAATTATAAGCAACATGAGATCACAAATAAATTATGTAGAATTGTTTGTATCAAACAAGGTTCGAGGACAGTTGGTTAACAAATAATATCCTGTTAAAGAAAAAACAAATAAATAACTTTTTCAAGAGTAAATTACTTTTTTAAATTAGATGAAGTAATTTAAAAAAAAATTAAAAAATTACATATAAGTAAATACCCGCTGATTGATCGCAGCCTGTCATTATTGGTCATCATTAGTCATTAGTAGCTGTAAATAATCACAATTGACAGTTTACTATTTCTTTCACTTTTTCTATATTGAAAAAAAATTATACTCCCTCGTTCAAAATTGTAATCTCAGATATTTTTCACACAGTTCAAAAAATTTAATTTAATTAATTTAATTATAATTTTTCTTATTTTTTTTCTATATACCACCGCTAAAGACCTTAAAGATTATATATTAATAATTTCTTAATACTTTTCTCCATTATCTAAGAAATTCAACATATGATTTTTATTTTTTATTTTTTAAAGGAAAGCTTTGGGTTTGAATGAGTTAAAAGGATTTAACTTTCCTTTTTCTCTTCGGCCTGAGAGAGGATCTGGGCCTTTGTTTTACAAATCAGGACGTGATGTGTTGATAATACAATGAACGAGAAGCGACACGTCGTCGGTATTCCTGCATGTCTCTGTCGTTTGTCGGCTGTCAAAGGAGGTTCTCTTCTTCTTCTTCTTCTCTTTGACTTGGAAACTACTGACAATTGGGTCCCACTCCCTACCACATTTGACATTTTTTTTTTCCATTTTACCCTCCCGCAGCTTTTGGATTGGGCTTGAATTTGAAATTTTGTTAGTGGCCCATGCTTTGAAGCTCTCTCCAATCTCAGAGACTCCAATTCCCAAGCACTTGCACATGACGCGCAAAGGGACGTGAATTCCAATTTGAAGATATTTGGAAATTCGAACTCTTATATGCTCAGTTTATTTCCATAAAAAAATATACAAAAAAATAATTTATTGAAAAATATTTTTTAAATAATTTATTTTCTATTATTTAGTTATAATATTAAAAATTAATTTTAATTAAAAATATTAAAGTCTTTATCTCATAAGACCATAAAAATATTAATAAATAATATAATTTTAAATTCAAAATTTTTCATTTTAAAGTCTTTATCTCATAAGACCATAAAAAATATTAATAATAATATAAATTTTATAATTCAAAATTTTCATTGTTAAATATGAAAAGAATGTAAAAAATATATAAATTATGGTGGGCACCGGTGGCCGATGGTGGTGATCGATAATAAATGGTGCTGATGGTAGCGAAATTAATGATTAATAAATTAAAAAATATAAATTTATAAGATATGCCAATATTCGGAAAACGTTTCTGTCTCGAAGATGTTAAGTTGTTTTTCTTAAAAAATGACTTAATTTTCCTTTAACCAAGAAAATATTTTTCGTAACTTATTTTTCTGAACGTCCCAAATAATGAAAATTTGAAAAAAAATATTTATCCGCAAGTTATTTCACGAAAACAAACAGAGTCTGAATTAGAATCTACACAACTACAACAATGACTATCAACTCTCCATCAAATCCCTGTTCGGTAAAAACTTTAAATAATATTTAATATTTTAATTAAAATCAAAATGTTACTTTTATTATTTATTCAATGTTGTCATGTTTACACTAATATGATGTTGACAAAATAAATCAAGAAATGTTACTTTTTAAATATTTAGCTAACACTTAGTAAAATAGTTAAACAATTACTATAACAATTAATATTTACAAATAAGGTAATTAATCAATTAATTAACTACTTTTTATATTTTTTTAATTTGATTAATTATGGAGTGGAGAGCAAGCTTATGAATCCAGTGAAGATAACAGAAAATATATGATGTGGCAGCATACAATTTATTTATTGCATTAACTTATGTGGCATAACATATGTGAGGGCTAGCTTTATGATATTTTTTTATGGTAATTGGATGTTAGTTGGAGATGTTCCTTGGAAGTGAGTTTCTTATATATACATATATAGATAAAATTTGTTTATTACATTAATTTATTGCATAGTAATTAACGTTGTTT